GTCTAGTGTAGTCTAGTCTAGTCTAGTCTAGTCTAGTCTAGTCTAGTCTAGTCTAGTCTAGTCTAGTCTAGTCTAGTCTAGTCTAGTCTAGTCTAGTCTAGTCTAGTCTAGTCTAGTCTAGTCTAGTCTAGCAGAGCGTGCTTCCGCGGAGAACAGCGTAGTGTGCTCAGAAAAACGGGTGTTGTTGCAGCAGAGAGTACTTTATTTGTTGTACGGTTGTGCACCCACAGTGCCTCGAGCCAAAAACCTGCCAGGAGGGTTGCAGAAAACTTGCCAAAGACCATCTGCAGTTTGCAACCCGACGGAACGAAGACTTGCGAAGCGACGGACCAGTACAGCAACTTGGCTTTAGATCTTTCAGAAGTCCCTGAAAAGCCTGAAGGCTTAGCTCCTCCTCCGTAATATCCCCTCTAGTCCCCTGTGTAATCCACTTTAGACTCTATCACATTCGTGGGCCCTTACGCAACCAAGGCGACGACCAGTCCTCTGAGGTTGCAGCAGACCTCTTCTACCTGCATGGCACGATGGAGGGCATCGGGAACCGGGCCTCCATCGATCGCTATGACAAGGCCCGGCTCGAAATGAAGAAAAGGCTCAATTATCATATATTCTATTTGTTTTTTTAGTCCATATTATACATGAGATATTGTATGTTCTATACTACATATTATTCTGAGTGCGAGGGCACTTCCAAGATTGAAGCACCGATTGAGCGATTTGTCAGGTATCTGTCAAGCTTCAACCCAAAACCTTGAACCCAAAGCCCAAACCCGAAACCCTTAATTGGATTGAGCAAGCTTCGGGCGGATGGTTCAAAGAGGCTACTGCGCCTAGAACAACCTTAACTCATTGATGTGGATGCCAGGAGGCCTTCCAGAGCAAAGCCTTCAACACCCGGCACCAGATGACCATTGTCACGGCCTTCACTTCTGCATGTCGAGCTTACGCTCCTCTTTACCGCCAGGCCGGAGAAGACCCTACTGTAGCCCTCCTGAAACTCGCCTCCCAAACCCCTGAACCCCAAGGACCAATGACCCAACGCCCCCGGCCACTCTACACTCTAAACCCAAAGCCCATAGCGATACAGACACCCCAAATTTAAAAAGAGAGATCTTTTCCGCCTCGGCCTCCAAAGGCCGCCATGGGCGGCTCCTGGGACCTGGCCTACCAGGACCTGTTTTCGGGTGCGCCCAGGGCCCATTGGAGTCCTTTTTGCACGGGTTTTGAGAAGAAGGGGGTTTTTGGGTTTAGGGTTTAGGGTACATGCATGCCATTGCATGCAATGGCGACTCCTTGAAGTGGGGAAGGCTTCCGTGGAGCAAAAACCAACGGAGCAGAGCAAGCGAGGACGTCTTGGCTGCCTTTGAGCAGTTCTTGTCGGAAGTCGGCAGCGAGCGTCCAATCGTCCTGGCGGGCCACTCGCAAGGACGGTGAGATCCTGGCGTTCCTTTGAGGTCTTTCTATGGACAGTGGTTGAGGATGTTGGGGTTCGGGGTCGTGTTCGAGTTCTTGGGCTTGTGTTTGGAGTGGGTAGTAGGTCTGCCCGTGTGCAGGATCCCTGCACATCATCCGCCTGGTGAAGGAGCGGATCCAAGGCGACCCCGCACTCATGCGCCGGCTCTGTGCCGTCCATGCACCGGGCATGGGCTCCTCGGCCCTAGCCATCTTCTTGTCGGGTTGTGTGCGACCTGCGCAAAGACCCTTCATTCAACTGTGGGTGCTTGCGTTGAAACGGATTCTGAAATTTAACCCTCATGTGCACTGAAGCGCATGGAGCCGGCTCAATAAAAGCCTTGCAACTTACAGCGCTGAATCGCCCTGAAGCTGGCCCATCGAACCCCAGACCTATGGCCCCATATAGATCCCGTATGGAATCCTCAGTCTCGGGTTACCCATCCTTCCTTTCTCCCTTCTGAAGTTGAGGACAGTGGATGGAGCCTTCGCCCCTGCCTGTCGACCGGGCTCCGAACGACCCTCCGAGCACCCCAGCGGTGGCCATCTGGGCAGCAGCCACTCCACAGGCCGAAGAGACATTATGGATTTAGCGAGGCAAAGGGAGTGGCACTCTTGAACGTGTTGTACTCTCTGCTGCATGAAAGAATGCAATATCGCAGTATCATGTTGCATCTGAATCAGCTTGCGCCATATTCTGGAATGTGTGTGTGTGTGTATGTGTTCTATTCTTCATACATAACCTCCAACTAGAGATCGGAATTCTGGGAACCTTCATGCGTGGAGTCATGGCGGTACACGTGCATACATACGTACATACATACATACATACATACATACATACATACATACATACACGTTTACATATACATATACATATACGTATTCATATGCATATGCATATATACAGACATACACACACACACACA